GCCCCCTCCCTTGGTCAAAAAACACTAGGAAAAACACAAGCTTTTATTTCGCCTTTACTTATCCCTTCTTCAGTGTTGATTTTTTTTTTGTCTTTTTATGTAGATCTGAGCTTCTGACCACTTTCCATCTCGTTAAAGAACTTCTGACCTTTCCGTGCGACGCGGGCCTGCTAGCGCCAGTTCCCTCTGTTTTCTCAGAAAGTCTTTATTGCTCCTTTCCTTTTGACGGACGCGCTCACAAGGTGCAGACTTCTAGGCAGCCAAGTTTTTTATTCTCTCCATGTTTTAAATGTTACTCCACTGTCTTATTTGCATAGTTCCTGAGGGGTATTATTTATTTGAAAGGCAGAGTGACAGAGAGGAGGGGAGAGGCAGAGTGAGATTTTCCATCTGTTGGTTTACTCCCCAGACGGCTGAAACAGCCAAGGATAGGCCCCGCAGAAGCCAGGAGCCAGGCGCTCCTTCCGGGTCTCCCACGTGGGTGCAGGGACCCAAGCACTTGGGCCATCGTCCACTGCTTTCCCAGGCCACAGCAGAGCTGGATCGGAAGTGGAGCAGCCGGGACTCGATCCGGCGGCCACATGGGATGCTGGCACTGCAGGTGGCGGCTTCACCGGCTATGCCACAGCGCCGGGGAAGCTTCTTTATCCTAGATTTTCTGTAGCCTGAGTGCGACGCGGCTCAGCGTCGTTTTCCGGCCTTTCTCCTCCGTGCCCTCCGAGCTCCCTGGTCTACGCCTCGCTGTCTGAGGTTAGTTTTGGGAATCCTCTCATTGCTGATTCAACCATTCCCGTTTCTTCCCTTCGTGTCACGGTTGTGACCACGGTCCTACAGCTCTTGGGTCCGCTCTTCTTTGTCCCCGTCTTGTTCCCTTTGCTTTTCCGTTTAACAGGTGTCTCCTGAGGGCCCCACCGGCGTCTCCCGCGGCGGCGCCCTGCGTGGTCCACGGCTGCACCCTAGGTGTTCCATGGCTGTGCCCTGCGTGGTCCACGGCTGCGCCCTGCGTCTCGCGGCTGCACCCTACGTGGTCCACGGCTGCGCCCTGCGTCTCCCGGGGCGATGCCCTGCGTGTTCCCTAGCTGTGCCCTACGTGGTCCACGGCTGCGCCCTGCGTCTCCCACGCTTGCGTTCTTCGTCTCCCACACCTGCGCCCTGCGTGTTCCTTGGCTGCGCCCGACTAAGGAGCCCAGCAAAGCCCCCTTCCTCCTGCTGCGGGCGTTTGATCTCCCCTATTTCTTTTCAGTTCTTGGCGCTTCCGCGTCTCATCTGTTGCTCCGCTTTGCCCAGTACGGCCCTTGGCATGGTGATCATGGTTACTCTGTCTTCTAAGCCCAAAGTCCCTGCCATCGGAGCGGGCTGGGTGCTTTTTGTTTTTTAGACTCTCTCTGCATGTTTGCGATCCTGGCTTGGCAGCAGGGACCGGGCCGTTGTCCCGTGGCGTAGGGCACGGAGGGCTGCAGGGATTGGTGAGCTTGTGTCCTGGGCGCTGAACCTCACAAGGGTTCCTCTGCCTTCCCCGGACTCCCCTTATGTGGACTGGACGCTGGAGAGGCCTGGACAGCGGTGTGCCCTTCTCCCTCGTGGAGGCTCCCAGGAGGATGGGGTGACCTGTCCCCCCATCCCCCAGATCAAGATCTGATAGAACCCCAGGAGTTTGGGGCTTGGGTAAACAGTTTCTCCTGAGGTCAGAGGTTTCTGAGAACAGACGTCTGTGGACTGGCTGCCGGCTGCCTGCTGGGAACCCTGCCGGGAACCCTGGGGTGGGTGGGGGTGGGAGTAGTTCCTGGGAAAGCTCCCCAGGGTGAGGGGCTTGCCTGGGACCCTGTCACTCCTGCACCCTTTCCCAGGGGGCTTCCCTGGGGGCTTCCTGTCTCTGCGGTTTAGAACTCAGAGGTTTGCCTTGTGACGTCACTGCTCTTACAGATTCAATGGATTTCGAATTTTTTTAAATTAGTTTTATTTTTCTATTTGAAATGCAGAGTTACAGAGAGAGAGAGACAGAGACAGAGCGAGAAAGGGAGAGAGAGAGAGAGAGAGAGATCTTTTTTTTTTTTTTTTTACTTGACAGGTAGTTATAGACAGTGAGAGAGAGAGAAAGGCCTTCCTTCCGTTGGTTCACTCCCCTAATGGCCGCTACGGCCGGCGCTGCACTGATCCAAAACCAGGAGCCAGGTGCTTCCTCCTGGTCTCCCATGTGGGTGCAGGAGCCCAAGCACGTGGGCCATCCTCCACTGCCTTCCCGGGCCACAGCAGAGAGCTGGACTGGAAGAGGGGCAACCGGGACTAGAACCTGGCGCCCATATGGGATGCCGGCGCCGCAGGCGGAGGACTAAGTTAGCCACAGCGCCGGCCCTGAGAGAGACATCTTTCATCAGCTGCTCCACCTCCAATCCAGCTCCCTGCTAATGTGCCTGGAAATTCAGTAGGGGATGGCCCAAGTGCTTGGGCTCCTACACCCATGTGGGGGACCTGCAGGAGGCTCCTGGCTCCTGGCTTCAGACTGGCCCCGCTCTGACAATTGCAGCCATTTGGGGAGTAAACCAGTGGATGGAAGATCTCTCTTTGTATAACTGACCTTCCAAATCAATCAATCAATCAATCAATCTCTTTTTTAAAGATTTATTTTTTTGAGAGGCAGAGTTACATTTGGGGAGTGTAACTCCCCAAATGAAGCCAGGAGCCAGAAGCTTCTTCCGGGTCTCCCACACAGGTGCAGGAGCCCAAGGACTTGGGCCATCTTCTACTGCTTTCCCAGGCCATAGCAGGGAGCTGGATTGGAAGAGGAGCAGCCGGGACTCGAACTGACGCCCATATGGGATGCCAGCACCACAGGCAGAGGCTTAGCCCACTACGTCACAGCATCAGCCCCTAGCCCTGTGTTTTAAAGATCATCCTTACTCCCCACCTTTCTCATCATTTTAAAAATATTTTTGGCGCTGGCGCTGTGGCGTAGCGGGTAAAACCTCCGCCTACAGTGCCAGCATCCAATATGGGCGTCGGTTTGGGTCCCAGATACTCCACTTCCAACCCAGCTCTCTGCTGATGGCCTGGGAGAACAGTAGAAGATGGCCCAAGTGCCTGGGCCCCTGCACCCACGTGGGAGACCTGGAAGAAGCTCCTGGCTTCATTTGGGGAGTGAGCCAGCCGATGGAAGATCTCTTTCTCTTTGTTTCTCTCACATAAATAAGTCTAATAAACAAACTTTAGGTCAAATATGCTCCCCTGGGGGTGGCTGCACTCGACCACCACGACACTGGCCCCGGGAATAGGCACATTTAAAGATTTAAATAGAGTTGGCCAAACTGCCTTCCGTATGGATCCACTAATTGGTTCATCCGCAGCTGTGTGGCCCCCTTCTCCTCCCACTCCCACCCCAGTCTTTCCCGACCAGGTCACCTGGGACTGCCCTCCGTGACTGCAGGCAGAGCCGAGCGGCTCCTCGCTGGCCACCGATTTCTTTTCCTGGACGGTGGGAACCGCTTGTTCTGAGCCTTGGATTGGTTTCCCGACTGCGTTCTGTCTGCTTTGTCTCACAGTCAGTGCTGGCGCATAGTAGGTGCTTTCTGTTGTATTAATTCGAGGACGTGGAAAGCGGGGTGTGTTGGAAGGAGAGGGTTGTCCCAGGGCACTCAGGAGCAGGACGCATGATGAGCCACGGGCAGGGGTCAGCGGGCTGTGCAGGGTACCCGCCCCCCCAGGCTCCGGCCAGGCACACTGGGCAGCCAAGGGCAGTGCGGGCTCCTGTGCCGGAACGCGGGGGGTTGGGGCGCTCGCTTAGTGGGGAGGGGGCCGTCTCAGGGAAGGGCCGTGAGGGGCAGACTGGAGGGCCCAGGAGGTGGCCCCCCCCCCCCCGCCCCGTGCCCCCGCCGGGCTCCTGGCATCTGGCTCGGGGGCTTGGCAGCTGCCATTTCCGGTCTGCATTCCTCTCTTATTGCAACCACTCAGCTCAGCTCGCGGGGCCGGGGGCACTGACCCCTCCAGGAGGGGGTGAGAGCTGGACTTGGGATTTAGTTCCCGCCGCTGGAGAAGCCGGCTCTGCGTGCGTCCCGGGGGCTTTGGGAGCGTGGAGGTGGGGAGCCGACGCCGTGCAGAGAGGCCTGGCCGAAGGGGGGCGCGGGGCGGGGCTGGAGTAAGGGGTGACATCATCTGGGGGCAGATGGTGAGATGCTGAGACCATCCTGCAGTTGTCCCCAGAACCAGGAGGTGGACGCTGGCCTCCCAGTCCAGTCCTGGGAGCACTTCGGACACACCTGTGTCTCTCTTCACTGCGGGGGACTCAGGCCCCCTGTGCCCGGGCAGATTTATCCTGGGGCCGGGGCTGTGGTGTAGCAGGTTAAGCTGGTACTGCGCCGGTTCTAGTCCCAGCTGCTCCACTGCCCATCCAGCTCTCTGCTGTGGCCTGGGAGGGCAGCAGCGGATGAGCCAAGTGCTTGGGCCCCTGCACCCACGTGGGAGACCTGGAGGAGACTCCAGGCTCCTGGCTTCAGATCAGCCCAGCCCTGACCATAGTGGCCATTTGGGGAGTGAACCAGCGGGTGGAAGACCTTTCTGTCTTTTCTCTCTGTAACTCTGCCTTTCAAATAAATAAATAAATCTTTTTTTAAAATTTATTTTTATTTTTATTTTTTTTGACAGGCAGAGTGGACAGTGAGAGAGAGAGAGACAGAGAGAAAGGTCTTCCTTTGCCGTTGGTTCACCCTCCAATGGCCGCCGCGGCTGGCGCGCTGCGGCCGGTGCACCGCGCTGATCCGATGGCAGGAGCCAGGAGCCAGGTGCTTTTCCTGGTCTCCCATGGGGTGCAGGGCCCAAGCACTTGGGCCATCCTCCACTGCACTCCCGGGCCACAGCAGAGAGCTGGCCTGGAAGAGGGGCAACCGGGACAGAATCCGGCGCCCCAACCGGGACTAGAACCCGGTGTGCAGGCGCCGCTAGGCGGAGGATTAGCCTAGTGAGCCGCGGCGCCGGCCTAAATAAATAAATCTTAACAAACAAACAAAAAAGAGCGAAGACATGAAGGAGGAGATGATAAAGTTCCACGATTCTATCAAGCGAGGGCATTTATTTCCAGCTGGAAAACACGGAGGTTTCCTGGGTGGTTGTTTATCCTAGTGGCTGACGCCACATCCCGGATCAGAGTGCCTGGCCCCAGCTCCTGACCCCAGCTTGCTGCTGATGCAGGCCCTGGGGAGGAGCCAAAAAGGCGCGAGAGACTGGGTTCCCATCGCCCACGTGGGAGACCCAGACTGGGTTCCCAGCGCTCGCTTCATTTTTTTTCTCAGCATTTGAGGAGCGAGCACCAGAGGAGAGCTCTTTCTGCCTCTCAAATAAATACGTTTTAAAAAACCACCAAAAATGACTGGTTCACACTGCTGCTGGCTGTGTGGGCCGTGGGTGTCAGAACTGCGGGGGAGGGGTAACTTGGGGAGGGGGGGAGGAGGCGTGGAGCTGCCTTTCCTAGAAAGTGCTCAGCAGCACCTGTGTCACGGTGTTTCGCTTTGTGAAGCAGAGAGTTCTGAGTGTACATACATTCACAGCCGTAGCTTTGTTCCCTGTATGTTTGAATAGTTCACAATTTTTTAAAAAAGCATTTTTAAGTGTCTGGGATTTGGGGAAAGACGGGGCGGGGGGGGGGTTGAGTCTTGCTTCACCAGCTGCTGGCTGTGTTTTGGACACGTGGCGTCTTTCTCCTCTGTGGCCCTCCTGGTACGTCACTTCCTGCTCACCTGCACGGAACACGCTGGCCACCAGCTTACCAGTTTTTTGTTCTCTAAAAGCAAAAGGTGGGAGCCGGGGTTTGGCACGATGGTTAAGTTATGGCGTGAAATGTCTGCGTCCCACGTTGGCGGTCCTGGTTTGGGTCCCGGCTGCTCTCATCTGATCCAGCCTCCTGCCGATGGACGCCCAAGGAGGCAGCAGGTGATCGCTGAAGCACCAGCACCAGCACCATGTCAGAGACCTGGACGGGGCTCCTGGCTGCAGGCTGCAGGCTGGCCCAGCCCTAGCTGTTGTGTGCATTTGGGAAGTGAACCAGTGGGTGGAAGATTTCTCTTGGTATCTCTCTTTGCCTTTCAAAGAAAATGAAAATAAATTACTATGTATATTTAAGGTTTATTCATTTATTTGAAAGGCAGAGCTACAGAGAAAGAGGGAGAGACGGAGAGAGGGAGATCTTCCATCCGCTGATTCATGCCCCAAATGTCCACAACAACCAGGCTGGGTTACAGGCTGGAGCCAGGAGCCAGGCACTCCATCCAGGTTTCCCGTGTGGGTGGCAGGGGCCTAAGCCAGGAGCCAGGCATCCATCAGGGTCTCCCATGAGGGTGGTAGGGGCCCAAACACTTGGGAATCTTCTGTGCTTTCCCAGGGGCATTAGCAGGGAGCTGAATTGGAAGTGGAGCAGCCGGGGCTGGCGCCGCAGCTCAATAGGCTAATCCTCCGCCTAGCGGCGCCTGCACAGCAGGTTCTAGTCCCGGTCGGGGCGCCGGATTCTGTCCTGGTTGCCCCTCTTCCAGTCCAGCTCTCTGCTGTGGCCTGGGAGTGCAGTGGAGGATGGCCCAAGTGCTTGGGCCCTGCACCCGCATGGGAGACCAGGAGAAGCACCTGGCTCCTGGCTTCGGATCAGCGTGATGCGCCGGCCGCAGCGGCCATTGGGGGGATGAACCAACGGAAAAGGAAGACCTTTCTCTCTGTCTCTCTCTCTCTCACTGTCTACTCTCTCTGTCAAAAAACAATAATAATAATACAAAAGGAAGTGGAACAGCGGGACTTGAACTGGTGCTCATAAAGGATGTTGGCATTGCAAGTGGTGTCTTAGTCCCCTGCGCCACAAAGCCAGAGCAGAAAATAAATTAACAAACATCAAAAAAATTTTAAAAATGCAAACCCGGGGAGTGGGTATTTAGCCTAGTGTTAAGATGCCCGCACCCACATCAGAGCACCTGCCTTCGACATCTGGCTCTAGCTCCCAACCATTCAGACGCTAGGAGGCAGTGATGGCTCGAGTGAGTGAGCTCCAGGCTCTGCGTTAGCTCCTTCCGGCTCCGCTGCTGCAGGCCCGTGGAGGCATTTGGGGAGTGAGCCGGCAGGTGGAGGCTCTTTCTGTCTGTCTCTCCACCTCTCAAATAAACAAACACAAATGGTTTAAGAAAAAAGCCTACAACGAAATCCCACTCCCTCTCCCCCGACACACGTATACAAAGTTGGAAGCCGGGGCTGACAGCTGGAGACGATCTTGAGGTTTGGAACTGAAGCTTACGAAGACAGTTGAATTTGCAGTCTACACGGAAAGTCCCCTTGCCACTCACGGGCTGTGGCTCTGATTGCTGCCTCCCGTCTCCGGCAGAGTTCGGTTCTCTGCAGAATGCTGGAAGGCTGCGCTTACAACCGGTATGCTTCACAGACCCTGAGCAGGGTGGGGGAGAGGGGCGTCTGGCCTGGCCGTAAGGATGCCTGTGCCCACGCCGGAGTCCCCGGCTCCACTCCCAGCGCTGGCTCCTGACTCCAGCCGCCCGCCAGTGCGGCCTGAGAGGCAGCGGTACTGCTCGTGGAGCTCCTGCCCCCGCGCAGGAGGCCTGGACTGAGTGCCCGGCTCCCTGCTTCAGCCCCCTCAGGTCTGGCCGGAATGGGCATTTGGGGAGTGAAGGAGCAGGTGTGTCTCTCCAATAAATAAATGAAGCAAAACAGGGTTCAGCCCTTGTAAACTGAAGAGGCCCACATTCCGTATCAGAGTTCCTGGGTTCACTTCTCTGCTCCAGCTTCCTGCTAATGCACACCCTGAGAACACCCTGGGAGGCAGCAGTGATGGCTCGAGAACTTGGGCCCCTGCCACCCATGTGGGAGAACAGGATGGAGTCCCAGGCTCCTGGCTTGAGTCCGGCCCAGCCCCAGCTGTGGTGGGCATTTGGAGATTGAACCAGCAGATGGAAGATCTCTGTATCTCTCTGTCTTTCTCAGTCTCTGTTGTTCTCTCTACCTTTTGAATAAACCATTTTTTATTTATTTGACAGGTAGAGAAATAGATGGTGAGAGACAGAAAGAAAGGTCTTCCTTCTGTTGGTTCACCCCCCGAAATGGCTGCTACAGCCGGCGTGCTGCACCCATCTGAAGCCAGGGGCCAGGTGCTTCTTCCTGGTCTCCCATGCGGGTGCAGGGCCCAAGCACTTGGGCCATCCTCCACTGCCCTCCCGGGCCACAGCAGAGAGCTGGACTGGAAGAGGAGCAACCAGGACTAGAACCTGGATCCCAGATGGGATGCTGGTGCCGCAGGTGGAGGATTAACCAAGTGAGCCACGGCGCCGGCCCTGAATAAACAATTTTTTTAAAAGGATTTATTTATTTATGTGAGAGGCAGAGTTAAGGGGTGGGGGAATAGAGAGAGAGGTCTTCCATCTGCTGGTTCACTCCCCAGATGGCCACAATGGTTGGAGCCGGGCCAGACTGAAGCCAGGAGCCAGGAGCTTCTTCCAGGTCTCCCACGCGGGTGCAGGGGCCCAAGCACTTGGGCCGTCTTCCGCTGCTTCCCCAGGCCACAGCAGAGAGCTGGATGGGAAGTGGAGCCGCCGGGACTTGCTGCAGAAGGCGCCCGCCCAGAGGCCATGCCTTTGATAGGACTGCCCAGGAAGCCCCTGAAGCGCTCGAGGAAGCTGCCCCCTCCCCGTGGGGGGCTCAGTGACCCTAGGAAGCCTGCAGTTCTGCCCCTGCAGACGCCAGACAGAGGACTAAGAACCTGAGTCAGGGACCGGGAGGGAGGAGGCCAGGCATTCTGGGTCCCACTGGGCTGGGTTCCCAGACCAGGGCCTTTGGAGAGCGCTCAGATTAGATTAGGGACTTAGGGTGGAGTCCCCTGTCTGAGTCCTGGGGCTTGCTCAGAGGCACACAGACCCGCGTGCACTCCCTGCCAGCCCGGCACACACCACTCCACGCCCCACCGCACCCTGCACTCTGCCCCCAGAAGGCCTTTGGCAGACAGAACGAAGCGAGCCTCTTCTCGCTAATGCAGCCTGGCTGGAGCAGTCAGGCCCCAGGGCCCGTGGTGTCAACCTTCTCACCTGGGCTCAGGCCAGGACCACTCTAAGGAGGCCTGGGGCCTGTGTGTCAGAAGGGCCCCCCCCCCTGCCCCGGCTGGACCAGCTCTCAGGTGCACGCAGCACTGGGCTGAGAAGTAGCTTCTGGGCATGGCGGGCTGTCCCTTCTGGCGGAGGATGGAGGATGCTAGGGTGCACAGCTGGGAGGGCGGCCCCAGTGAGGGTGTCATCCTCCGACTGCCCCGTCCCCGTCCCTGGGTGGCTGTGTGTGGCCAGGCTCCTGGTGCTTGCTCCCATCTCCTGGCCCTGCTGCTGGTGCCTCCCGGCAGGTCCTTGCTACAGTCCTTCCCGTCCTGCCTCCTGGGGTTCACAATGCCAGGCACTCCCAGAGCCTTCAGCTCACACTCAGCCCTTGGCTTGGCCCCGAGGGCTTGGTCCCTGCTCATTGCCACGTCTGCTTCTGTCTCTCTTCCCGGGAACTCTCCTGCACCCAGAGCTGGCGACACCTCGGGGTGGGCCAGGACTTGTTCAAGCCCTGCCTTCCCCAGGAAGTCCCCTCTGGCTGGGCGGTCCTTCCCCCGGCCCCTGAGGCAGAGAGAGAGAGAGAGGTCTTCCATCTGATGGTTCACTCCCAATTGGCTGGAATGCCGGAGCTGCGCTGATCCAAAGCCAGGAGCCAGGAGCTTCCTCCGGGTTTCTAACATGGGTGCAGGGGCCCAAGGACTTGGGCCATCTTCTACTGCTTTCCCAAGCCATAGCAGAGAGCTGGATGGGAAGTGGAGCAGCCAGGTCTCGAACTGGCACCCATATGGGATGCCAGCGCTTCAGGCCAGGGCATTAACCTGCTGCGCCACAGCACTGGCCCCCTCATTTATATCTAGGTGGGGGGCGGGGAGGAACTGTTCGTCGCGGGAAGGAATATTTTTTTCTTAGTCAAAATCAAATTCTGGCGGTCCCGGCTCAATCGGCTATCCTCCTCTGTAGTGCCGATCACACTGAGGTTCTAGTCCCGGTCGGGGTGCCGGATTCTGTCCCAGTTGCCCCTCTTCCAGGCCAGCTCTCTGCTGTGGCCCGGGAGTGCAGTGGAGGATGGCCCAAGTGCTTGGGCCCTGCACCCCATGGGAGACCAGGAGAAGCACCTGGCTCCTGATCAGTGTGGTGCGCCGGCCCGCGGCAGCCATTGTGGGGTGAACCAACAGAAAAGGAAGACCTTTCTGTCTCTCACTGTCCACTCTGCCTGTCAAAAAAATAATAATAATAAAAAAGAAAAAGAAATAAAAATCTATTAAATTATTATTTGTTTTAAATAGAGGAAGAAGCCGGGGGAGGCACAAGTACCCAAGGCCCGTGGCAGTTAGGAGCAGCCCTGGTTGCAATTGGTTCCCCTTTCCCACGGTGGGGTCGTAGCTCCTTCGAAGGGGGCCATGGCTCCCCTGGAGTTTGTGGTCAGCCTCCGCACCCCCAGCCCAGTGCACGCGGAACTACATAGCGGCAGGGTCCTGGGCGAGGCTCCCGCCGCCGTGAGCGTCCATTTCTTCATCCGACCGCGAGGACCAGGCTGGGGAGCGGACTTGCAGCTTGGAGTGGTGACCGGGCTGTGCAGGATGCGGGCCAGTAGGCGGAGGAGGAGGTGGTTAAAAATGGCTCCAGGTAGCTTTGATTTTCTGGGGAGCAAACAAAATTACCCTCGGTATAGGCAGAGGGAGAGCAGCAGGGCCGCCCAGCGTCTCACAGCGCTGGCCCAGAGCGTGGCTTGCTCAGTAACGCACGCCTGAACCCAGCTGCGGACCAAGGCCCTTCGCCCTGGAGCCAACGGCTTCTTTCATCTTGGGGCATTGGATAGATTTTTTTTTTTCAGCCACACACAGAAACGTGTGAAGGCCAGGTCTGAGTCTTATTCTCTCTTTGTGTCCCCTGAACCCAGCAATGCCCCATCTCTCCGCCCCCTCTGGCACCCCACCAGCACCAGGGCCCGTGTCCCCCAAGTGGGCACACAGACTCAGTTTCCCCAGAGATGTCTCTCCCAGGTACGCTATGGGGACTGCTGTAGAGATGGGACATCTCCAACAGTGACAGAATCTCCGCTCCTGTCCCCTGGTCACCATCACTTTGGGGGGCCGTTCCGTAGGACTACCCGTGGCTCCCACAGAGCTGTCACTGTCTCCTTCGCTCGCCGAGCGTTAAGGCTGCCCGGCGCCTGCAAGCCGGCGCACAGTAGGTGTCGAGGGAGCGGCCGCGTCTCTAACGGACCGCTGGGCAGCTCCCAGCGAGGAGAAAACCCACCCCTGGATAACGACCCTGCATGGCCTCCGCACCCTGTAATTTGGCTCTCCAGGAATCGCCTTTGTTGTGGGCGGGCAACCACAGGCGCGGCCGGCACCTGCTCCTCCAGCCGGTCCTCAGAGGCGGACCCCCGGGCTGCCGCGGCCCCCGCCGAGCTCGGGGTCCCTGCTCCCCGCGCCGGGGGCCGGGGGGCCCAGAGGCGCCCCACGGTCCGCAGCCGGGATCCGCCCAGCGCCTCCCCGCCCTGGTGCCCCCCGTCCCCAGGTGCCCGGCACCCCCGTTCCTCGCTTCCGCGGGCCAGGCGGGGGATCTGGGCTGCGTCAAGGGCCGCGCCAGGCGCCCCCGGCCGGCGCGGCGGCAGGAGCCTGAGTCACGGCCGCGCGCTCCAGCTCCCGGCTTCCAGCCCGGGGCCACCTCGGCGCGCAGGCCGGCCCCGCGCAGCCGGCTCTCTGCGGGTCCGCGTGCGCTCCTCTCCCGCGCCCGAGCCGCCGCCCTCGCCCCCTGGCCGGCTCCCGGGGAGCCTCGCCCGCCCCTCCCATGGAGCAGCCGGAGCTCGCGGCGCTCCGGGCGGCTCCCGCGGGAGGGGGCGCGGCCGCCCCCGCGGCTCCACCCTCTCGGCGGGGCCGCAGCCATCTGGGGCCCCTGCCAGTCGCGTCCGCCCCGGGGCCCGCTCCGAGCTCGCGCCCCGCTCGCGCCGGAGGAGGCAGCCCCGGGCGGGGACCCCGGCCACGCCAGCAGGCGGTCCCCGCTGCGAAGATGCGGAGAGCCCAGCGCTGAGATGCCCCGAGGGGGCGGTGGCTGCCAGCCGAGTCCGGGCGCGAGCGCTTCGCAGCGGACGCGGGCGCCCCTCGGCACCTCGGCGACCCTTGGGGAGCCGGGACCGGAGCCCCAGGGGCGGCGGCGGCGACGGCGGCGGCGCGGGCCCGCGAGGTCCGTGCTCCCGGCGTCCGGAGCGGGCGCCGGCTGCGGAGTCTCGGCCGGGCTCCTCGCCTCGCGCCTTTCGCCCCCAGCCCCCCGCGAGCTGGCAGGAGGAAATAGCGCGCGGCCCCTTTAAATTTACCCAGGAGCCCTTAAAGGAGCCCCAGGGGCCCCAGACAGGAATCCCCACCCCGGTCCAGCCCGCGCCGCCGAGCCAGCAGCCAGCCGTCCGTGCGGCCGGCCGCGCCGTGCGTGCGCCCCGCGTCCCGGGGCCCCGCGCACCGAGCGCCCCGCGCGGGCCCCGCCGGCCGCGCGGCCCCGCCGCCCCGGGGCCCCGCTCCGCAGCGCAGCGCATGGAGCCCGGCGGGGACCACCGGAGCCGGAGCGGCGGCGGCAGGGGCGGCCCCGGGCCAGCAGTGGCCTCGGCACGGGGCCGACGGCTGCCGCCCGCCGGGTCGAGCGGCGGCGCGGACCCGGAGGAGGACGATGGCGGTAAGCGCTGGGGCCGGCGGCCCGGGCGGGGGCCCCGGCGTGGGGGGAGGGGAGGGCTGCGGCTCCGGGCTCCGGGCCCCTCTCTCCGCCGCCGAACAAAGGGGGGGACGCGGGCAGGGCGGCCGGGGGCGCCACCTGGCGGGCGCGGATCGCGGCTGCAGGGCTCGCGGGGGCGCCCCCCGCCCAGCTCCCGGGGTCGGCCGGCGGGGCTGGGGTGGGTCCCCTCGTCCGTAAAAGGGCCCCGCGGCCGTCGCCGGCGCCCCTCTTTGGGGGCGCCAGGCCCGAGGGGCCCCACAGGGCCCGGCGCGCCGCGGGGGGCTCGAGGCTGGTGGACTTGCGGCCCCCGCCCCTTTCTCTTTCAGACTCCCAGGTGGTCTTTTTCTTAGCCCGCTGTCTCTTAAAAGTCAGCCCAGACCCCGTGTCCCCCTGGAGGGCTTCCCCCCGAGGAGCTGAGCTCGGGACCCCGCTGTTGGAAACCGGGCTGCCCCTGTGGTCTCGGGGCCTCGCCCTGAGCGCCGCACCTTCTCCCCGGGACGCGCGGGGCTGGCCGAGGGGGCTTCGCCCACAAAGGCAGACGCCCCCTCCCGCCCGCGCGTCCTCGCTCTCCTCCGCTTCGGAATTGCTTCCCCGGGGCCCCGATCCGTCAGCCCCAGAGGGACCAGCTCCAGCTCCTCGTTCGCTCCTCCACGGAGCCAGTTCTCCCCTGCTTCGCCGCCAGGTCCACGCCTGGGACCCCGGCCTGCCCGGCTCGGGAGACTCCGCCGCTCCCACCTCTGCGCTCCCCTCCCAGGAACTCCCCAGCCCCTTTTGTTTTTAAAAGAATCTCAGCTCCTCCCTCTTTTTCGGCTCTTAAAGGGCCAGTCCACCTTAGTGGGGCACGGATCCCGGGCTGGAAGGATGCTTAGACGCCAGATAGCTACCCAGCGCCTGTGCAGACAAAGAGGCTCGGTGCCAGAGGGCGACACCGCTGCCCGAGGTCACCTAGCAAGTCACCAGTGAAGGCAGCACTCGAACCCAGGTCTCTGGCCGAGGCCAATGTACAAGCTGAAAGGAAGCCCCTGGCCCCCAGCAGCGGTGGGAGCCCTCCCTCTCTGATCCTGCCTTTTGTCTCCACTCTGGGATCTCTGCTGCGCAAATGCCCAGAGCTGGCCCTTCAGCCCGTGTGGCCGGCAGCCCGTTTTCTAGCCAGAAGAGGGCCGGTAGGGGCTGCTCCGGCTGTCTGTCTGGCAAAGAGAACGCCTCTGGTTAGTGGGGCCTCCCGGCTGCCCGCCCTTCTGATTGCTGGGCAGTGGCCGGCGCCCTGCCAGAGCAAAAAATAAATCCTGAGTCTTAATGGGCGCCGGCGGACACTCCCTGCCGCAGTACCGTCAGTGGCCACCCCGGTGGCTCTCCTGCCATCCTGCCTCGGGCAAGTCCAGGTCCCTGGAGGTGTGGACAGCTTTGTTCCTCTGGGGGGTGGGGCTGGGGAGAGGGCAGTGCTTGGCTTAGCCCTGGAGTGAGACCCTCGGGAGGCTGGTGGCTGCAGCATCCTTGGGAAACGGGAGAGGAGTCTGGGTGGGGCCCTGCTGGCTGGGGCCCCGGGCGGGCGGGCGGGCGGGCGGGCGGGGGGGGGGGTCCTGTGCACACGCACGCACAGCCCTGGATGCCCCCTTTGTTCCTCTCCGCTCCGGCTGTAACCGCCCCCGCCTGCTGCTCTCCTGGCTGCCTCCCTACGGCTGCCGTCCAAGCAGGGCACCTCATGGAGCCGGCTGCCTCCTTGGCCCTCACCTTCGGTTTTTTGAAAAAGTCCAAGCTGGCCCTGGCATCCTTTTGTTCTGGCTCCGCCCTTAAAGGGTCCTCGCTCTTTGTGAAGGGCCCTGCTCTCCTGCACCCTTGCCTTGGCGGCTGCCACCCCTTTCCTGCCCCCTGAACGCCCCTCCCCGCCCCCCACCTCTCTCTCAGGCTTCAGAATCAAAGCCCTGGGTTCTCTCCCTGGAATCGGAGATTGAGAAACTGTCTCCCCTTCCCCTTCTTCAGGGCAAGATCTTCAGCTGGAAGGGGGTGCCTTGGGGTCCTGGGGGCGCGCCCCCCCGCCCTCGTCTAGGGCTAGGGCACCCGCATCCTCAGGCAGGAAATACTCAGACCACTGCGAGGCCCGGGCCTCGAGGCCTGGCAAGAGCCGCATCCCGGGCCGCGACCACCGGCGCTACTACCACGACCACTGGCGGCTGGAGTACCTGATGGACTTCAACCCCGCGCGGCACGGCATGGTGTGCATGGTGTGCGGCAGCTCCCTGGCCACCCTCAAGCTCAGCACCATCAAGCGGCACATTCGGCAGAAGCACCCCTACTCCCTGCACTGGAGCCCCCGCGAGAAGGAGGTCATCAGTAACAGCTGGGATGCCCACCTGGGGCTGGGGGCCTGCGGCGAAGCCGAGGGCCTGGGGGCCCCGGGGCCAGAGGAGGAGGAGGAGGAGGAGGAGGAAGAGGAGGAGGAGGGGGCCAGCCTCCAAGCTTGCCCACCCAAGGGCCCAGGTAATGCGCCATAGGGAGAGGCAGGGGCCTGGACAGGGCTCTGGGAGCGGCCTTATTGCAGAACAGGGTGGGGGGGCGGGGCGGGGTCAGCAGGGTAGAGGTGGAGGGGGGACATGCAGGGAGAAAGGCTGGTGTGGGTATGGGCATGGGAGGGGGCCCGACAGCAAAGTCCAGGCCAGGGGCTAGAACCTGGGACTGTGTGCAGGACTGGGGACAGGGAAGGGGAGCGGAGGACCCGGCTGTGGGGGAGGGGCTCAGCCAGGCCCGCAGTCTCAGTTCCTTCCCTCCCTCCAACCCTTTCAGGCAAAGCCCCAGCCGGTGGGGGCTGCGGGCGCCAGCGGCGTGGGCGCCTCTCGGCCTCCCGGAGGCCCGGGGGCAGCAGGGGGCTGGGGGCCCGGCGCCTGGAGCGGACGCTGAAGGAGTCCCTGCAGAACTGGTTCCGGGCCGAGTGTCTCATGGACTACGACCCGCGGGGGAACCGGCTGGTGTGCATGGCCTGTGGCCGCGCACTGCCCAGCCTGCACCTAGAGGACATCCGGGCCCACGTGCTGGAGGCCCACCCCAGCTCGCTGGGGCTCAGCGGCGCCCAGCGCAGCGCCCTGCTGCAGGCCTGGCGGGGCCGGCCCGAGGCGCTGTCTGAGCTCACCCAGCCCCCAGCAGGTGCGCGGCCGCCCCAGGGCTGAGGACCCTCCCCCCACTCCTGTTAGAGTCTGTGGCCAAAGCTGGGAGGCAGGCACCGGCCCCTGGGCTCACACGCACACACGTCCTGGCAGGGGCGCTGACTTGGGGCTGGGGTGAGGAACAAGGACAGACCCCCTTCCACTGGGCTAGGAGAACCCGGCCTGCAGGCTGAGCCCCTCTCCCTCACCCCTTCCCCAACAGGCGATGACCTCGCTCCCCGGGACCTGACCAGAAAGAGCCGGCACTCGGCCTCCTCTCAGGATCTCAGCCCCCCCGACGTAAAGGAAGAGGCTGGCTGGGCCCCTGAGAGGCCCGGGCCCGCAGAGGAGGCGCTGGAGGAGGAGGGCGAGGGCGAGGGGTTGGGGGGCCGCCGCCGCCGGCAGGAGCGCTGGCGGCTGGAGTACCTCCTGGAGCTGGACGGCGGCCGGCGCGGCCTCGTGTGCCTGGCGTGCGGGGGCGCGCTGGCCTCGCTCAAGATGAGCACGATCCAGCGCCACATCCGCCGGCGCCACCCGGGCTCCTCGCGCCTCGGCGGGCCCGCGCAGGCCCTCGTCGCCCAGGAGTGCAGCGAGAAGGCCGCCCGCCTGCTGGCCTCGGGGCTGCGCTGCCCCGAGTCCCCTCGGGGCCCTGCCGCCCCCCGCACAGCCGCAGCCTCCGAGGAGGGGGGAGGGGAAGAGGAGAAGCAGCCAGAGGAGGAGTGGTGGGGTGAGCCGGGGAGCCAGAGCAGGTGGCCGCCCCAGAAGTCCGAGCCTGTCGTGAGACTTGGAAACTCATGAGTGGAGCGTAGGGAGATTACTGATGCGATAGACAGGAGTGTCAGTTGTGCAAGCCAACAACGGGAGTCACTGTGCTTTACTCCTCATGTAGGATCTCTGTCCTTAATGTGCTGTACATTGAGATTTAACGCTATAACGAGTACTCAAACAATATATTTCACTTTGTGTTTCTATGGTGGTGCAAACTGTTGAAATCTTTACTTAATGCATACTAAACTGATCTTCTGTAAAAAAAAAAAAAAAAAAGAAAGAAAGAAACCCAACTAGACTCTCTCTGGGGATTAAACATGACAATAGGTCTGATCTGATTTCATCATCATTTAAAAAAAATCATCTATTATTTTTCACTTTTATGCTTCTGTGTGGGAGCAAACTGTTGAAATCCTTACTTACACGTATACTAAGCTGATCTTCGGTATATTAAGATAATCGAAAATTAATCTTGATGTGAATGGAAAGCGGAGAGGGAGTTGCGAAAGGTGAAGGTTTGTGGGTGGGAGGGACGGTATAGAGGGAGAAGCCATTAGAA